GAACGGGGCTTTCTCGCCCCGGAGCTCGCAGGTAGCAATCCGCCACCTCGACCTCCGGGGCGAGAAAGCCCCATTCGTAAGTGCGGATCCGACGTATGTTTACTGCCTGTAAAACATAATGCACTAGCACCCTCATCTCATAGGCACTGACTCGCAGTTGGCATTGTGGACTGGTGTAGTGTTCTGTCACATTCAGAATATCACTGGCATTCCGGCCACATTCATCTTCATCTGTGAGAACTCCAGATGCAACAGAAGGATGATTTCATTTCCCCAAATTAAACTAACGTAAGCAGGTTAGTTATTGGTTCCAGTAGACAAGCTTCTTGTAGACTCAAAACTTTTGAGGATAGGATAGGTCTCTGCCCTAAAGAGTTTAAGGCACCTAACTCCCCCAGAACCTGGGCATATCTGCCTGTATAGCACCTCACACACTACTGACACTTTCCAAATATGTTAATGAATAAGCATCCACATAGCAAAACCACAGATAAGGCTACAAGTGAGGAACTGGAAAAACGTCCCACAGTTGTCAGAATACTTTAAACAGAAAGTCAGCTAATCCATCCAAGAACTTTTTAAAATAAAAATTACTCAGCCCAAGCCTTCCAGAGCCACAGAAAATATTATGTCTAAAAGCAAAGAACCCATAAAAATGATGGGTACCTTATGCCTGGTACATCAGAGCTTTTTTCCAGAGAACAAGTAACATTTTTAGAACTCACTCACTCTAAAATCCACATGCAAAAACTCCTTATGCGCTGGGTTTTACTGAACTATAAACTACCTTAAAACACAACATAAATTAAAGAATTAACTATTCATAGCTCCCAGTGGGGAATCCAATAATTAATATATAGCTTAATCTACAATTTTCACTATCCTTATGCAGCTCTAACACTTTGGCCTGCAGCCCCTTTGTTTTAATTGCTCTTGCTAAAGATAGAACTCTTCTAATGCAAAATAATCTGGTGAATTCTACATCTGTATCTGGGCTAAACTGAGTGTTCACAAGAGGAAAAGAAAATAGCTGAAAGTATTGTGAAATCTGCTTGAATTATAAGAAAAAATGCTTTAAAGAAACAAAATATTATGTAGAAAATGAAATTAAATCCTATGGAGGAAAATTGTCTTCTTGGTGAACGTTTCATGGAACACCCTTTGATAACATCAAATTTTAAGGCCCAATATCAACTGGCTTGCATGCATGCCAACTGTTAAAGCCTATGTAGCATTGCTGATATTTTATACTGAGATGTAGGGATTTTTTTAAAACTTCAATAAATATTTTGTTAATTAGAAATATTGTTGGGGTGATCATCAACCCAAACATATTGATACAAACAGGAGCCTTGGCTGAGTTAGAATTGCAGAATTGAGTTCATAGATAAGAAGGCTAGATACACGGCGTGTTTAATTTCATTATCTACATAATAGTGGCACATGCACATCAGTTGGTATTAATCATCATTATTGCCTGAGGTTCAGCCATTGTAATTAGTGATTGATGGTACATAGTAAATTTAAATATTGTGGGGGAAAATACGGTCGTCTTAATTTATGTATTAAATCTCATTTTAACTCAGATAAGACTGCAGTTGTCTGATCCTTAAATTGCATAAGATGCCCATATTGTTTTCTAAAATGTTCAATCTTTTGTACAGGTTGTGTTATTTTCGATGAAATTAAGGAGACCCAGAAAGTTAACCATTATTATAGGCAATATAATGTTTTATGAACTTTCACACCATTTTTAATAATTGAGTTCACAATTAGGG